TGAATCACTAGTTTGTTCGATTTCCATGTTAATATTATTATCAATACTTGTGTTGATTAAGTTGTCGGAGGTTATTTGTTGTGTTCATTTGTTTTACTTGCCGAGAACCGCTGGCCGATGTATTTTTTTTTTTCATTGTTGTTTAAAATGTTTGTTGACCAGTCGGTAAAAGAAATAATGGATGTAAATTTTATGTAAAAATTAAGATTACAATCAATGATAAAAAAAAAAACAACCGACATAAAATATACACTAAATTAAATTTAAGAAAAAATGTATAAAAGGAACCAGTGTATCAGAATAGTACTATTTGTGTTTTAAACATACATCGGTGAATCCTAAATAATATCATCATAAATTACACACTGTATAGCTATATAAGTTCATCAGCAAACATGAACTTTACATTTCAAAAGGTAAGTTTCACTACCAAAATTAAAAACATTTTAATGGTTTTGTACTTTATTTAGTTATTCTCTACAGGACACTCAAGTTGGCATTAAATACCTTCTGTTTAACCATTTTTTTTTAAAGAGTTTCATTGCCTCAAATATTATATTTTTTATATTATTCAAGGATTAAAGTTTAAACTTAAGACGTATAGAAAGATTATTATTACTTTTAAGCAATAATCAACGAAACGTCAAATTTTTAAAATTATAGCAATCATTTCACGCCTTAGGTCACCTTCTTAAATACACAATGTTAAAATATATATTTTTGGTATTATATTTAAATTTTATTGTGCCAATAAACATTGTAAGTTAGTTCAAAATGTTAGACAAAGGATTTTTGAGACACTATAAGTTTTTTTGACTTTTAGATGTTAGGTGTTATTTTATAACGCTTAACTCTAAAATCTTACCAGTAGTTTTAACTTATTATAACTTTTAAAATTTAAACCGGAACCTCTATATTTTTTGGGATATTATTTAAGTAAATAATATTTTAAACCCAAAAACGTTATACGACTTTTTACTAACATACTGTTCAAAAGTTATTGTTATTTAAAGTTTTTGTTAGTGCTCTATACAGAAGCATTTTTAGGAATATTCAAATCAGATAATAATTATAATCAGATAATCAGATTATAATTTTAAATGTAATTTGTTTTGAAAACATGTACTATTTTGTGATTTTTAATATAAGAATTCAAATGGAATACTAACTTTAATTTAGTGTACAAACACACAATAGCAAATATAAAAGAATGACATAAAAAATTAATCACAATTGTGTATGTTTAGCTGAATATTATTAAACTATATTTTTTAGTACAATAATATGCCTTTTAAAATGTAATCAGTCGATAAAATAGTTTATCACATATGAACACTATTGTATAATATTAATAATATTTTGTAACAGGTAACCCTGAATCAGCAAGCTCGACCGTGTCAAAATATATTTATAGCTATAAATACTAAGTGTCTGTCTAGGCGAAGAAAGTCTTATTACCTTTAATCATTTCTACCGTCTTCTTCTTTACTGCAATGTATTAAAATAGTTAATATTTATAATATATTTAAATTGATTGAAGCCATAAAAAAAAATATAAGTTAAAAAATTCCAATTCATACTTCGCTTAATTTACAGATATAGTCTGTGAGATATTTTTAATACATTTTACAAAAGAAATACAAACTAAAGTAAAACGCAACGAAACTCGGTAAATGTCGAAAAGTCGGTGATCTGTAGATATGAATCGCTGGTCAACCAGACTATCACAAAACATTTGATTTTGTTTGGTTACCTGTATACTCACCTATCGGACAATGCGATCATAAATTAGTATTTTATTGGCTTCCGGTCTTCGGAAACCAAAGAAATGTAATAATATTTAAGAGAAAATTTAATATCTTTACAAAGTCATAGCTAACGACTAGATGGATAAAAATAAAAAATTCAAACGATAACAAAATTTAAAAATTTTTGCCCACAAATGTATGGAATTATAAACATATGTTGCCATTTGAAAACGTGAACTAAACCCTTTTTATCGTATAAGGGATGGAGATAAACATTTTCAAAGTATTGAAAAACATAGTAAAACGTTTATCAAAAAGTATAGGAAAAAAATAATTTTCAAAATATTCATATTTCCGAGAAATGATGTCTTACGTTAGTTGGATGACCCGGTACAAATGATATCGATATGTAAGTTTATTAAGATATTATAAGGAACCAATTTATGAGAAATTTACTATTTGTGTTTCAAACAGTGAAACAATAATACCATTATATGAATAATACATTTGGCTAATTTTATTACTCTCCTTGTATTCTAAAAAAATGCTTATCTTTCGAAGAATGTTTCAAAGTCGTTATGTGCAATAAATCGTACATAAATGGGGGAGAAAGAACAGTTTTTGACAGGCAATAATTAAAAATGGAAATATGATTGAAGCGTAATTTAATAAGAAACGCTAATTTAAATTCAAATAAAAACATATAAATGGTTCAATCAATATATAATTATAATGTTTATGCAAAAAAGTCAATTTTGAAAAAATTGTCGCTTACGCCCTTTTACCTTATAACCATTGAAATGTTAAACGAATTTATGATACTGTACATACTTTAAAAAATGTTTTGCTTCTTAAAGTTTATGTTCGTGCTGTATATTGTGAAGCATTTTTTAAAATATTCAAGTCAGTTAATCAGATTATAATTTAAAATGTATTATATTTTATACACATTCACTATTCTGTAGTTTTAAAAAATTAAGAATTCTAATGGAATAACTATCTTTAATTTAAAAGTACAAACACACAATAACAAATTTAATAGTGTTACCTTTAAGTTATTTAAAAACAAATAAATATATTTAGGGTTTAAACTGTATATAAAATGTGTTGAAAATCAGTCCAAAATAAAAATGATATAACAAATATAATACCGAGAGAAAATCTGTAAAATGATATCAGTAACCTTAATGATCTTTCCAAAGAACATAAAAAATAACAACAGTCCATTTATCTTTTATATTTACACTGGAATATTTATTTCGATTTTTTGTATCTTAAAAGATACATCGCCAAGTTAAGGGTTGAATTTAATTAACACAAATTATATTTATGTAATTAAAATTATGAGTATTTTTTGTCTGTAACCTAAAAATTATAATAATAATATTATAGCCCATTATTATCATGGTTAGTTACCATCATAATCCTAATTTTTTTTAAAAATAATTTTGATGTGATTATAATAAGAATTGAGTTAATTATATATAAATTATATGGTGGAAAGCTTAAAAGTCATTGATGTGGTTTTTTTACAACAGTATTATACCTAGAGTGTTTCAAATTAGTTATGGGAAATAAATAATACAAAAACAAGGAAAAAACATAAAAAAAGTTGATTGCCATGTAATAATTGAAAGTGAATAAACTAATGTTAAAATTAGTGTTAACACAAATTAATAGCCATACATGAATAATATATTTGGCTCATTACTTTTGTGTTTTAAACTTCCATTAGTGAAATCAAAATATCATTACAGAGTACATAGTATTATTTTGTCGGCTTCCAAAAACATGATTCTTTTTTTTCAACAAGTAAGTTTAACTACCAATTTAATGTTTGAGTGCTTATTTGTGTTTCAAACTTATAATAGTGAAACCATAATAATATCATTAAAAAGTACATAATATTATTTTATTTTATACCTATATTATTTCATCAGCAACCATAATATTCCTTTGGTCTCTATCTTGAGTACATAATGATAAAATATGTTTTATTTATGTTATATTTAGATTGATTTGAGCCATATAACAGTTAAATATTTTCAATTCATATTTTTCTTAAATTTCAGATTTTTAATATGAGTTATTTTCAATCCATTATACTTACTATCCTGTTAGTTATATCGATAGTAATTATTCAAAGGATAAAAAACCAAAGACAAATTACTTTGGCTGCTCAAATACCTGGTCCAAAATGTCATTTTATTGTCGGAAGCCTAACGATTTTTACTCAAGGAACAGAAAAGTTCTTAGAGAATATGAAACGACTATGTAAGATGTAAGTTATCGCGAATAAGCATGTAAAGTTTTGTGGTATAATGTTGTCTAATTACTGAAAACATTTTTAAGTTAAAATACAACTGATACGTGTGTAATCTAATTTGTTAAATATTAGAAAGACGACATAGTAAAACCAGCTTATAATTATGCAAGATGTAAATACTTGTAGTTAACATGCATTTATTTTGTGGAATAATGTAGCCTTAAGCCAAACAAAAATCAAATTTCGACATAATTAACAATTTCAACTATTATCCATAAAATCTATTTAGTTTTCAACTATACTTTATGTATTGGAGTTTTAAAAACAACATAGTAAAAACAAACACATTAATGAATATAAACACGAAATTTTTAATTTTATATAAAAACTTTTCAACGAAATTTTATGATCCATTTGGGAAATCCCAGTTTTTTCTGTAGAGTATTTTATGTGGGACATTTACAAAAATTACATAAGAATCACATATATACTCCAGAACGTTAAGATAGAAACTATTCATATAAAAGAAAGGAATCCTTGACTGTTATTATTTTGTAAATTAATTAAATTTGTAACATAAGTACTTATGGACAATATTTAAAACAAGCTCATTATGTTTAAGGTACGAGCATTCATTATTTAAAGTTTGTTTATTTAACAAGCTGATTGTTTGTTTATCCAACGCCGATGATATAGAAGTAGTAATGAATAGTTCAAATTGTTTTCAAAAGGATTTCCCTTATTTGTTAGTGGAAGATGTTTTCTCAGGTACGGGGGTACTTACAACTAGTAATGTACATGACCATAAAAAAAACAGGTAAATATTTGTTATATATAGTAACTATAATATTATGATTATAAATATTTTGTAAGAAACTAATAAAAAAAACTGTTCCTATTTGAAAAAGATGAATAATTTATTAATAAAACGTACGTTTTTTAGGAAAATTATAAATCAATGGCTAAAGTATTCAAATTTAAAATCAATGATAACTTCTTTCTACGATGAATCCAAAATTCTTGCACACATATTGAGTGAAAAGTGTGAAGGAAAACCAATTGAACTTGAAATAGGCCGATTTTGCGACCTAGCATCGATGGACAGTATTGGAAAAACAGCGTTGGGAGAAGAATTCGATTCACAAAATAAAGAGAACCATGATTTCCGAAATAGTTTTGAACGTTTAGCAAAAGTAAATTTTTTTTTCTTCATTTTTGTAGTAACATAAGAACATTACACGGAACTAATATCCGCTAAGAAGTTAATTGTTTTTACATTTTAATTACAGATGTTTGCATACAGACTTTCGAATCCATGGTTTTTATTTTCGACTTTATTTTCACTGTCATCGAAAAAACATGAACAACGAAATAGTCAACATTTAATGCATAAATTTGTTAATGACCTAATTCAGAAAAAACAAGTCGAACTCAATGAAAAAGCGAAAACTACAATTATTGGGACTTATGACACAGATTGTGTTTCTCAAAAACCTAAATCTCTAATTGAAATTCTATTAGCAAACGAACAACAACTATCACCTAAAGAAATACCGGAGGAACTTATAACCGTTATAAGTGGTAAGCATTATATATAAATTCTATGGCGGGAAAAAATGTTAACAATGTTTTATAGCTAATTTTTTTAGTTAAAAATGTCGGTATTTCAATGATGTATTATTTAATACTTATGTCATTAAATACATCATGAAAAAAATTCACCTCATTCTCTTCAAAGCCAAAAAAATCACTGCTTTTTATCTAAGAATTTAAACATGCTACATTTAAAAAAATATAAAATATAATTTCCAAAATTGTAAAGGAAATTCTACTAAATAACGTTATTTAAATGTATTTTATGTTTAAGCGGGACATGAAACAACTGCAAAATCAAATTCATTAATTATATTTATGCTGGCTCATCATCAAGATGTTCAAAAAAATGTAATTTTTTCTGAAATAAATTACAATTCCATATTTTTTTTAAACAAATTATTTAATTTCGACCCTAGGTATATCAAGAAATAAATTCAATATTTTCTGCTGGCGATTTCAACCGATCACCTACACACGATGATTTACAGAAAATGGAATACTTAGAACGAGTAATCAAAGAAACTATGCGGCTTAGTTCAATTGTACCCTTAATTACCAGAAAAGTAGAAAACGAAATGATGATTGGGAAATATGTTATCCCGACAGGTAGAATATTATAAGAAAAATAAGTTTTTTAAATTTCATAGCTAAATGGTGATTAAGTCATAGTAATCGAATATTATTATTTTATAGACGCAAATCTTCTGATTTGTATTCAATGTTTGCATTTAAATCCCAAGTACTATAAGGATCCAGAACAATTTAATCCTGACAACTTCTTACCTGACGTGTGTCGCCGTCGTCATCCTTTTGCGTACATTCCTTTTAGTGGTGGCTCAAGGAACTGTGTTGGAATGAAATACGCAATGCTTCAAATGAAGACTACGATATCTACTCTTGTAAGGTCCTATCGGTTTTCGCCATCGGAAAAATGCCTTACGCCGAAGGATCTAAGATTATCTTTCACTCTATCAGTGGAATTTATCAATGGATGTAACGTTAAAATAGAACCGAGAACATAATAGCTTGGAATTTAAAATGTTTAGGTGCGTTTTGTTCAAGTAATTAATTAAAAAATAAATTGTTATGTACTGGAAAATGTTTTGGTGTAAAAAAAAACACTGGGTTATTATTAACACTGGGTATTATTTAACTCCCTTTCATATAATATTATAATGGTATTTATTATTATAAATAGCAAATAAATATGTATCTTAATACTTTTTGTGTTCATTATTTATAGTAGTTATGCATAGCTTTAGAGTTTATCTGTGGATGTTACGTTAAAATAGAATGAAGATCGTATTGAGTAATTAAAAATATTTAGATATGTTTTAATTAAGGTAGAATTTATTTTGATTGTTTACTGTTTTTAAACAAAATTGAAATACACTTTGTTCTTTTAATAACATAATAATACACAAAAAACAAAACTCTTTGTGGATCATAAAACATGTATTACTAATTAGATAGTGTTTTGTTTCTCAGTATATTTTTATTAGCTTTGAATATTGTATGATAGGGTGTACCGGGTGATTGGTTAACTATGGACCACTCAATATCTTAGAAGATATTAGACTTTTTTAATATTTTTTTTTTTTGTATTATTATAGTTATTAGGTGGGACAATTTTAATGTATTTTTCAAAATTTTAACACCATCCCTTATGCGTTAAAACCATAACAACTTTAGATTTTTAAATGGTAACCCCCAATTTTTTTTTGATGATCGTGTTTATTTTTTTTTAATTTAATTTTAGGCGTAAAAACTATCTAAATCAGACAAGTACTTTCAAAGTTATAGCTTATTACTACAATTTTATAATATTAGCTTATATGAGATGCTTTTATAAGTTTTACAACTAAAGAAAAAAATCGTTTATCGCCGGATCTCACGTTTCACAAAATAAGATTGATTAACGATACGGTTGTAGATTAAAGTTAATAGTTGACGGTCGTCGGTCACAATGAAAACGAACTAATAATAAATCTTTAATAATATTATATGGGTAATGTCTTCTTATCTGTTTTTTCTGTAGTGTTCCTAGCGGTGCGGTGTAATATGTAGTAACATATTTTAGAAATATTAACATTCTCAGCAGCATTTTAGATTAAACTAATATTAAATAAAGAATTTATCATTAAAAATTAATAAATAATGTTTAATAATTATAGATATGTTAAGTATATGTGTGTTTAAATACTTAGAGTTTAAAAACTTTATGTCACTTTCAAAATGATAAAGTACTTTTAAATTGTTTTATTGAATTACATTTTTAGCTGAATAACTAAATATATATAGTTGTCTAATATTTGATTTGAACTTGTGAATCCATCTTATTCTTCTTACTGACTTAATGGAAAACCGTTATCTGCAATAGTGTGCCATAGTAACTAAAATAATAATAATAATAAGAAATTGTTAGTGATGAATTCATAGAAATTTACTAAATTATTGCAAACTGATGATCTTATATATTTTACCTTAAAATAAAACACCTATAAATTTACTGAAAATTGAATACCACAACATTCGACAATGTATTGATGGAATTGGTTTAGACTGATTGACTACAAAAATATAATACACCAAGTTTGACGTTGGTAGTAGTGTAGTTGTAGACAATAACAAATATCAATTTAAGTTGAGATAGTCCATATTAATATTGAACATACTAAAACATAATTAAAAAAATTAAATAAGTTTCTTAGATACTTAAATAATTATAAGGTTAAGCAACAAATATCAGTATACACATATATTTTTTATAATTATACAAGTATGATAATTTTTAAGTTAAACGTTAATTTTTAAGTAACGCATTTTAATAAAACATATTAAGTAAGATAAACATAAGTAATCAAAAAAAACTTATTACGTAAAAACATTTTATATGTTCATGAATAATAAAAAGCGACTAATTATATTTTTCTAATAAAAAAATGTACTTATACAATACACCTATATCAATAAATACATTATCTTACCTATTATTGATTCAGTAAACGATGATTGAAGATTCAATTTTTTCATAAAAAATTTTATATTTTTTCTTTGAATTCAGATATCAATATATTAGAACACAAAACTACACATTTATAAGTTTCTCAGAACAGACATAATACTGTAAAAATAAAAGTTTTAATTAAAATATCATCAAGCATAATTCAAATTACTCTATTTATTTTAAATAACATATTATTATTATAAGTACGAAATCCATATTTTCGGTTGCTGATGAAATTATATAATTATAAAGTTTGTAAGTTTTAAACACTTATAGTAAATTTTTGAAATTTTGGTTCTTTATAAAAGGTTTTTTTGGAATTTAATATTTTTCCCGAGCATGTGCATCCATAGAAATTGTGGGGGGGGGGACTAATCTTGAAAGACATTACTTTTCCACCCACCAAAAAAAAAAAATTTAGCATTCTTTAATACATAACTCTTCAAATAATGTTATATTACACACTTGATGATCAAAATATATTATATTTATGTTCATTAGATATTATTCACATTCAATTTAATATTAATTTGTTCACTATAGATTTTTAATTGGCAAAATTGTTTTCCGCTTTTTTTATGATTTTATTAATAATATTTTAATCTTATCATTCTTATACAACATTTACCTATATTATTTTTTTCCCTTAACTCATTTGAATTTAATTTACAAAATTTACTAAAAATTAAATTAAATTTAGTATGTATATTTTGTCAATTTAATTTTTTATTTCCACTGTTTCTCCTGGACTCAGACATTTTAACGACATATTATTTTTAATATAAATGTAAATATTTTATCCTAAATTTAATGTAATATCTTCGTTATATTTTGATAACTCGAATCAATTAATTTAGCTAATCTTGGAAGCTATTGTTTGAAAATGTGTTATTCAAAATTACCCAGTAGGACATTTTTTCATAATATTTATACCATAATTTTTAAATTAATTAGCATTTCAAAAACGTTTCGTAATAATACACATTATATTAGATTAATAATACAACGTAATTAAGAGAGTTAAAAAACCGTGGGAATTGGTTCGTAAAAGTTACACTTACATTGCTGGAACTTAGCCTGCGCACAAACGTGTGGTCTGTTTTAATTATTTAAATAAAACTAATTTATAAATGCCATTGTTATCAAATCCATTTTAATTTGACCTTAGCTAAAAACAAACATTATGTTTAGATAGATAATGTTAGTTTTCAACCTTCATTACTTTATTTAAATATGCATTTATAATTTGTACATATTAAGTATATTTACTGTTAATATTATTCCAACTCATTTTAAAATCATTTTCAATAGTATTATAATACTTAATTGTTCTTATTCTTAAGATGAGGCATCATTAACCATCTAAATGCATATATTTTATTTTGTATAGGTATATAAAAGGTTTTGGTATTTAAATTTACTGTTTTTTTATACTCGGATAAAAATAATTCCACCCTTCCACCAGACATAAATTTTAATTTTAAATAACTTTTAAAGTAATTATCCAAAACTTATTTTCATCCACTAAACTTCCAAACTGTCGCGATTTAAGAATCTTGTTGGCGGTTGAGCCGCGGTTTAACACCACTTCTTATTATGGCCTAAAAAATGTATTACTTTTGATCGCCTATTTAGTTGATAATCGATCAACTAGAGAACAGCGATAGTTACACGGCTGACCTCACATGTTCAAATGCATTGCATTCAATAAAGGCTTAAAGGCCTAAGGCGACCTAAAAATATCGTAAAAGAATCTTAAATTTGAAAAAGAATAATACATATACAATTATGTTTAAATTTTTTAAAATAACTTAAAGGTGTTTAAATTTGTTATTGTGTGTTTGTACTTTTTTCTAAATTAAAGATAACTTTAAAAACTACACAATTGTGTTTAAAACCTAATACATTTTAAATTATAATCTGACTGTCTGATTTGAATATTTCTAAAAATGCTTCATAAAATACATCACGAACATAAACTTTAAATAGCAATAAATTTTGAACAGTATGTTATAAAAAACTTTTTTAACATTTGTGTATTTAAAATATTATTCGACTACAGAATATCCCAACAAATTTAGGGGTTCCCATTTTAAATTTTAAAAGTTAATACCATGCTTGCGCTAACTACTTATAGTATGATTTTAGATTGAAGCGTTAAATGTGCCTAAAATAAAACCTACCGATATCCAAATATCGGAATTTGAAAAATCAAAATCAGCTCTAAAAATTGGCCGTTTTTATCGTGTTTTAAATAACTTACAATTCAATATGGCTAAAATCAATTTAAATATAATACAACAATTTTTTTTTAATATTAGGTATTTAAAAACGTGACATAAGGCATGTTATGATTTAAAAATTTTGAAAATAGGTGGAGTTTTATTGAGTATAGCTTATAGGTAATAATAATCTTTTTACCCGTTTTAAGATTAAATTTTAATACATTTATAATGTTGACGATATCATATTTGAAGCTATAAAGCACTGTCGAAAAATATAATTTTTAATTAATATCAGATGCCTACTTTAGTGTCTTGTAAAGGTAAACTACATAAAGTACTAAAACTTATTAAAAAAAAAAAAAAAAAACGTATTTAATGGTTTTTAATTAACTACAGGTGATATTTAATACTATCTTTAGTGTATTG